ACTCTGTGACCCTGGGCAAGTTACATCCGTGTTTGTTTCCTCATCTGTAGAATGCAAATAACAGCGTCTAACTCACAGGCTTGCTGTGAGGGTTAAATGAACTTTATATCAGAACATGCAGGGCACATGAGTGCTATGACATGTGAGCTATTGATTGCAATTTAAATACAAAGAGCAAATTACATGCTTTGCTTGTAAAATATGTGTCTAAAATGACTATAAATTGGGCATACTGGTATAACTTGGAGCAGTGTGCATTTCTCAACCAACAAAGTGGAATTTCTGGCATAGGAGGGTACTGAGTCACACCTAAAGCACTCCAGCTTGGATAGAGGGAAAGTGTCACTTTGTTCCTCTTTGAGAGGGAGTCATCTGGGCAAGAAGACTGTAAATGGAAAAGAGAAGCTCATTCAGAGGGCCACCAGCTGCTCTTCCCAGTTTCTCAGTTTTGAAGAGCACCAGCCACGGAGACAGTGCCTAGTGAAGGGTGGTTAAAGAGAATTAGACACTTCTGATGTCTAATCCAAAGGCTGAGAATCACTGGAGGACTTTGGTGGGCAGTCAATTTGGCACCGTTGGTGAATCATTCTGGCTGCTGTAAATGAAACAGATTTCAAGATGATGGAGACAGTGGCAGAGCACTGCAGAAAATATCACAGCCGCCAAAGCCCAGAATAAGTCAATCCGAGCATTTTGACAGTATATATAAAAAGAGGGAAAGGGTGTTCCCAGCTATTTTATTGGGGTGGGGGAGGGAATGTTAGTCTTAGAAACAGCCTGATGAGAAGGATTTAAAAAAAGAAACAAAAATTTTAAGATGGGAGGCTTGAGACCAAGGTGAAAATAATATAGCCACTAAGAGAGACAAAAATTGGATAAAATGAACAGTTTTCAGTATAAAAAGAATCCGCGCTCCTTGGGAAAATGGCTGGTTTCAGATCTGGAGCAGAGATATGCTTACAGTATCTTGTTCCAGAAAGTAAGAAAGGTATTTGAATCTACCAGACCATGTAAGAAGTATATGGGAGACAAGGACAAACTGAGCATCAAAAAGAATATTGACAGTAATGACTGAAACAAATACATCAAGATGCATAAGTTCTACATGACACTTAAGAGGGAAAAACTCATTGCTTATCACTGGAGCTTGTTAGGGCACCAAATCATTGCTCTGATAGTTCATAAAAGGAAAAAATTAAGCTTTTTCTATCTTTTCTGCACAATGTGAATTTCAGGAAACCCAAATAATTTATGAGGGCAAGTTCTTTACAGACAGAATTCCAATTAGCAAATGCAAGAAGAATGATGGATTTAGATCATCACCATTTCGCAACCCCTAATGAAATGGATCCAGGCTACAACCATCTATGATGCTGAAATCATTAGGTCAAAGGTAGAAAGGTAAATGACACTACCTAAACCCACCAACAAATCCTAACATCACAAAAAGGGAGACATTCAGACATTATGTGTCTCATGATGTGATGCAACAGATTTCACATAGCACCACCCACGAAGGATACTTGCCTTGAATCTAATCAAGCCTCTGTATCTAAGTGTCAGATAATGGGAAACAGAGCAGAGAGGAACACGTTAACCACCACCATAAGTAAGGAATCAGCCCAGAAAGTAGGACATTGTACTGGACAAATGACCCACTCTCTCCCGCAAATCAATGAATGACATGGAAAAAGGGAGGGGGAACTGTTTTAAAACAAAATAGATTTAAAAGCCTGACAATCAAATACAACATGTGGACCTTGTTTAGTTCCTGATTCCAACAAAGTAAAATGACATCTTTGAGAAAATTTGAATATGGAAATTAGATTAAGGAATTATTGTTAATATTTTAAGGTATGAAAAAGGCACTGAAGTTTTGTTGTTGTTTTTTTCTAATGTCCTTATCAGAGATGAAAACTGAAACATTTGTGAGATGACATGATACACAGAATTTTGCTTTAAAATATATCAGCCCCCCACAAAAAAAAGTAGGGAAAGGAGAAATAAATGAAAGAAGACTGGCAAAATGTTAATAACTGTTGAAGTTTGAGGGTTTATTATGCCATTCTCTCATAATCTCCACTATACAATTTTTTTAAAAAAATGATTAAAGGGTTTTGGTGAGAATACAATCTGTGCCTTATTGGACATTTATTTTTAAGAGGTAGCTACAGTCCTCCTATAATGCAAAACTTAGTCTTTCCTTCATCCTAAAGAGATGCGAAGACTCTTAATATATGCACGTGGAATTCAATACAATTAGAAGTGACTGAACCTAGGAACCAAGAAACTCTGGTATACTCACCAAATGAAAGCTTGGTTTTTACTAGTAAGAGATAACCTACAATGCATCTGGGTTGAGCAACAAAACCCACAAAGAGCTTAGCGGATGTCAGTTGATATCAGCTTGTCCACATTTGTGGGAGCCTATGGCAGCATAGACAAGAATCACACATATTCATAAATCAGAGCTTGGTCAATACAGGAGTTGAAAACTTCACCAACCTGTGTTAACGCACAGAGCTGCTTCTTCACCAGTGGTAATGGACAGCCCATGAGACACAAAGCTAAGTATCTAAGCCATGATTTGTTTGCATTTGCCATCACTGTCCTAATTAAGGGGGCTAACCAGACAATCCCAGATGCTCGCAAGTCACCAACCAACCAGTCTGGTACAAATTTTACCTGTGTTTTCTCTTTCTTTCAAACCCCTTCTGCTATGAACTGAATGTTTGTGTCCCCCACAATATTCTTATGTTGAAGTCCTAACCCTCAATGTGATAGTATTTGGAGATGGGGCACTTCGGGTATTATTTAGGGTAAGAGTAGGTCATGAGGGTGGGGCCCTCATGATGGAATTAGTGGCCTTATAAGGAGGAGGAGAGAGCTCTCTCTCCCTCTGTATGTACCAAGGAAAGGCCATGTGAGGATATAGTGAGACAGTGGCCACCTGCAAGCCATGAAGAGAGCCTCACCAGAAACCAAATTGGCCTGCACATTGATCTTGAGCTTTCCAGCCTCCTGAATCTGTGAGAAAATAAACTTCTGTAGTTTAAGCCACCCAGTGTATGGTATTTTGTTATTGGCAGCCTGAGCTGCCTAAGACAGGTACATATTTCACTTGTTTTTCTTTCAAACCCCTCCTACCCCTTTGATGGAGAAGATCCCAATATCACAAAAGTGGTTCCAAAGCAGAAGAAGGGGGAAATAGTTGAAAAGTATGGGTTTCCAACATTGGAAATTTTGACAATAAATCTTCCCCCAGTAACAAAAAAACTGATCATGCACTTAGGAAATGTGTTTGGAAAGTCCCAAAAATACAGTACTAGACTTAGTACTAATACAGTACTAGAATCAAAGAGAGTTAAGGAAGTATACGTTCTTTGAGGTAACCAGAGAGTAATTAAGAAAATAAGAGTAAATATGTATATTGGCAAGGTAGACAACATCAACCCAGGCAGCAAGAAACACAAGTCTCTGTGCAGATGAACACCACAGATCTATTTATACAGAAACCCTCAGCAATTCTTGTCACAGATTGCCTGGCTGCCCTCATGTCTTCAGTATTCTGTGCCATGAAAAAGTAACTGTCAAGGATAACAGGAACACAATTTGACCTACTTTTGCCTAGATTCCTGCAAAGTCTATAACTCTGGTTCTTGTGTTTATTTAGCTACCACATCTTGGGGACACATTTCCTCGCCTTCTCTGCAGTCAATCCTGCATGCCACACATTAAGACACTTGTAGGCAATTCCTAAACTCCCCTGGTCACCAACTTTGAGAATGCCCAGTCACACACAGCTAATCCTCAGAACATCCTTCTGAGGTGGACCACGTACAGCCTTCCCTACACTGGAAGGAAAGTGCCCAGGAAAGGAGAAACACAGCCTAGAGAAGCTGACCTCATTCAATTCAGACCCTTCGCTACCCAAAGGAAGGCACACCAAGACAAGTGTTTCTCCCTAACCCATCTATGCAAGAGCTAAGAGTCTCCCTGTAAGGTCTGCCTTTAAGACAGATAACTGAGACTTTGTTTTTTAAATTACAAGCCCCGCCTCGCCCCCAAAACTATTATATATTGTTGCAGTTTTTCAGTAAAGACTACTTGATGATGACAGATTTTTAAAAGCTGAGTAGAACCCACCAAAAGTGCCCCCAAGCACTGGTGAGCAGGGAAGTCTGAGTAAGTCTGCCCCATATCCTAAGGCCCTGGCAGAGCCTCCTGTGTGGCTTGTCAAAGATCCCAGGAGACAATTAGCAGGTCTTTCCCGCTTCTTTTTACACACAAAACATGCCTGACCTGCTCAGGTCATTAGAAGCACTTAGAACCCAATGAGGGACACTCCTTCACCAGGAAATCCTATCTGAATGCACCATCAGGAAGTCAATATTTAAGATCCCTGGGGGCGGGCACCCTCCTGCTCAAGGGAGTGTCCAGGAGTACTAAGTGCTGGAGACAACGGAACCCATGAACTAGAAGTTCACCGCAGAACTTCCAACTCCTGGGTCTCCCCCTCAGCGGTAGCGGCCGCCCAAGCCAGTCCCGATGCCCAGAGCTTGCAACGGGACGTCCAAAACAAGCACACCCGTCGCATGCGTCCTGCAAACTGGGATCCCATTCGTGGGGCCTGAAGCTTGCGGTGGGGACAGGGCTGGTCGGGACAGGGCTGGCTGGCTGTTAGGCACCCACACCTGCAGCTTCCCCTCCTAGAAGAGGCAAACGGCTCTTGTTTCGACGAAGCCCCCCCGGTCGGGCAGCCCCAATCCAAGTGCCCTTGGGTTAAGTCAGGTGCATCTGGGGGGAGGGGAAGCCATCGCTCAAAGGGGGGCACTTCAAAACCCCACCGTCCCGGGCCCTCTTCAGCCCAGTCCAGCAGAAGGGCGCCCCTTGCGCCACCTCCCCAACTTCCAGCCGCCCCCCACAGCGGCCCGGGAGGGTGGGCGCGGGCTCCACGTGCGCGCCGCCCGTGCCCACTCGGACAGGGCCGGGCCACTCACCCGGCCCCCGGCGGCGCTCCGCTTCCTCCGCAGCGTGAGTCCGCTCCGCAGCAGGGCCGGCAGGTCCCTCAGCCGCGGCCGCAGCGACGCCGGCGGCTGCTCGCGCTCCGGCTCGCGGGCGCTGGGGCTGCGGCGCAGGGCGCCGTCCGCCGCCACCACCGCCGCCGCGGCGGCCAGGGCCGGGCTCTCGCACGGTGGCTGCATCTTGACGGAGCCCACGGCCATCCTCATGCCCTGGCGGCCGTGCGACGCCGGCGGCTCCTCTCCACCGCGCTCGCCTCCGCGCGCCGTCCGCGCTTTCGCCAGGCAGCGAGAGGGCGCGACTGCGGCTCGGGCGCGGGGCGCGCTGCCAGCCGCTGCCCATTGGCGCGCGCCGCGGCCCCCGCGAGGCTCAGCCCCGCGCCGCCCCTCCCCGCCCAGGTGCGCCGCCCGCCCGCCCCGCCCTCTCGGCGGCGCACCTCCGCCCGCCGGGTGGCCCCTCGGACACTCCCCCTCCCGACCCGGGGGAAGAGGACACCTGGGCACCCGCTCCTCCACAGGTGCAGGACTCCCTGACTCCTCCACCGAGCCCAATCTTCCGTCCTCTCCCCCTGCCCCCTTCCCTTTAGGCTGAAAAACCCTCTTTTACTTCCCTTTTCCTAACAGCCAGGGTTGATTGGGCTTCAGCCGAGGGAGCTGAAAAGTCAGTCAGTCACCCTCCCCTGCGAGGGCGGGGAACCTGCGGCCTCGAGGCCACAGTCGGCCCTCCAGATCACCAAGTGCGGCCCCTCGACCTAATGCCAACTCCACAGAACAGATCCCTTTGTTAGAATTTGGATTCAGTCAAGGATCCAGAAGGCTACGTGTGGCCCCAAGGCCTCAGTTTCCCCCACATTATCTAGAACTGTTTTTGCCACGGAACTTCAAAATAGGCAAGCTACACGGCAGAACTGCCCCGCGCCGACCCCTCTGGGCGCGCTCAGCATGGAAGGGTGAGGGGAGAAGACTTGTGTTGGTTATGATAGGTGTTTAGCAAAGTAGGTGCAAGTCTGGTGACCCGAAGGTGAATCTCTGCTAACATGTCGGAACCTGACCTTCCCTGAAAGCCTGCTGCGTGTGTTGAATGTGCCTGGTAAACTGCAAAGGCCTTCCGTGGTGTGAATCATTGTTTACACGAGGTAGGAATTATGGAGCATTGGGAGTGAAACTATTCCAGCGGAGCCTCAGACTCACAGGGGCTGTGAATCTTCGCATCCCAGCTCAATCTGTCTTCAGCAAGGGCCAGCCAGGGCTTTTGTGCCTCATCAGTAGGACACTGGGGTCCCCCTCTTTGCCTAAGACTTGGAAGAGTTGAATAAGCTTATTCACATTTAAATAGGAGAGAGAGAGAGAGAAGTAAGAATTATAGGAGGTCAGGGCCCAGAGCTGGTTTACCGTTGTACCCTCAGCCCCTCACATGGTAGAGGCTTGGGAAATATGTATGGCAGTGCTACCATGTAAGGGAAAAGGAAGAAGGACCTGTGATCTCTGCCCTTGATGAAGGTAATTTGGCCCAGTAGTAGATAGATAGAGTAGATAAACACATAGAAAAACAAAGATATTACCCTTGTACTCTTGCTAATTGCCAAGAAAGTGTGAACAATGAACACTCCCAGCTGCAGGAGAGAGAAGTACTTCTGGCCTGGGATGGGCCAAGACAAATCAAGGAAGGGAAGGAAGTTTAAACGGTGCCTTAAGGCTGGGTGGGGAAGGTCCAACCAGGTAGAAAGGAGGGCGAGAGCCCTTCAGGCAAAGAGGAAGAACATGAGAAAAATCACCAAGGGGGTGTCATCCAGAGCCTACTGGGCACTGAGACTATGCCATTCTGGTGGAAGGAAAGATAACATAATGAAGAACAGAAAACACCAGAATAGATGCTGGTGACACAATGCAGAAGGCCTTAAATTCTGTCACTTTAAGCTGTGCATATTTACTGGAAAGGACTTTATAATAAACCCTATAGTCCATTATAGTTTCCAAATACCTATCACATACATTTATTCAAGGCTGAAATAGCACTTGTATGTAGCATGTCAGTATGTATCACTTTTTCTAGTCGTAAAATACTTCAGCTCCAGTTGATAATTAGTTATTGCCTTGAGCCCCAGAGTGCCACCTCCCGCCCATGCTTCAAATTTCCCCATCACACACCAACTACAGGGTTAACATCTGGTCTGCTAGAAGCCCTCCAGGACACTTCTGGTGAACATTCACTCTGCTTAGTGGATGCTTGCACCATGTCACCCCTGATACTATTTGAATCATATCCTGAAGCAACTCTCTGCTCCAAAGTAGAGCACATGTGTTCTGTGCCCTGGTCCAGGTGCTTGGTCCTCATGCTCTTTCAGTGCACAGCTCCTCAATGCAAAGCCAAGGAGTATGCACTTTATTCCATAAATTCCACGGCATTGACCAAGTGTCTAGAACTCAATATCGATAAGGACCTTTGGAAAGTTGGCTTAGGTTAAGGTGATAAATGGCAAATGCCATTTAGCCTCAGTATCAAAATAGGCAGGCAATAAGCAATGTGTAAACAGAAAAGCCGCGCCACTATTTAGCTCAAATCAAGCCACGTCCTACCCTAGGACCTTTATAGGAGATGCCTCTGCAGTGCTGTGTAAGAGATCTTTCTGCGATGATGGAAACGTCCGTGTCTGTTTTGCAGCCAATGGCCACATGTGGCTACTGAGCGCTTGAGACATGGCTGGTGTGAATGAGGACGTGCATTTTTAACTTTAATTTTAATTAATATAAATTTAGATAGCAGCGTATGGCTAGTGACTACCATACTGGACAGCAGAGTTCTAGAAATCCACATTTCTCTTACTCCTTCAGTCTTTAAGTTCAAATGTCACCATTTTAGTGAGGCCTTCAATGACCATGTGATTTAAAATTCCCATACACTCCTTTCCCCACCCCCTCCAAAGCCCTGACAGAGCTGACTGCCATCCCACATTCTACGTATTTTACTTCTTTATTTTGCCTGTTGTCTGCTCCCTAACTAATAAAATGTACCCTTCATAAGGCAGGATGTTTTTTTCTCTTTTGTTCAGTATCTGGAACACATGAGTTGAGTAATTGAATTCTTTTGTATATGAGAACTCAGTTTTTCAAATAGTGCTTAATCTGGATTTGTATATGAAATCTCCTATATTTTGCAATATTGGAAGATTAAAAACTGTATATCCTATATGTGCCAAAAAATACGCAGGTCAAATGAGACACTGGCCAGCCGTTTGCAACTTTTCCTAAAGGCTGAGGTACCAGAGCTGATTTTTACTTAGGAGAATGACATCATCAAAGCTAAAGTTTGTGGGAAGACCAATGCTGAGAAAACACAAACTTTGTGGCTATTGACAGGAAAGGGAAATTGGAGAGCAGGAAGATAGCTCTGACAATGAACTATATACAAAGTGATGAGGGCCTGAATTAGTTGTGGTGGTGGAAATAATAACAGGGGGAGGGGAGTAGATGTTAGTACAAAAGAAGGCTCCTCAGGCCTTGGACACATTAGGAGTAGGAAATTACTTCATATGGCTTTGCAGACTACATTTTTCAAAGATGGCCACCTCAGCATCCCCCAACCCCCAAGCTCTTCTGCAAGGTGATCTTGCCACTCCCCCATAAAGAGAGGGGGTTTATTTCTCCATCCCCTTGAATCTGAGCAGGGCTTGTGAATGCTTTGCCCAATAAAATAAACAGAGATGACTTCACCAGTTCTGTAAATAGCCTTTAATTGGCCTAGCATCTCCTACTTCCTGCTCTCTTGGAACACTTCCTCTTGGGATGTGCCCACTCAGAACCTAATCTTCTTGCTTGGAGAAGCCCAAGCCACATGGAAGCTCTGTAGAGGTGCTCTAGCAGCTGAGCTTCCATTAAATAATCAGCATCTATTTCTGGACATTTGTAAGCCATTTTGGATACCCAGTCCAGCCAAGCCTTCAGATGACTCCTATACTAGCTGACATATGAATGCAACTACACATGAGGAAACCAAGCAAGAAAACTACCCAGCTGATAGGAAAATTGGATAGCCATTTACAGAAGAATGAAACTGGATCCTTATCTCCTGCCATATAAAAAAAAATGAACCAAGATGTAGTAAAGATTTAAATGTGAGACCTGAAACAATAAAAATCCTAGAAGAAAACCTAGGAAAAACTCTGGACATTAGCCTAGGCAAAGAATTTATGACTAAGACCCCCAAAAGCAAATGTAATAAAAACAAAAATGACAAATGGGATTTAATTGAACTAAAAAACTTATGAACAGCAAAAGAAATAATCAAAACAGTTAAGAGACAATGTACAGAATGGGAGAAAATATTCACAAACTATGTGTCCAACAAAGGACTAATATCCAATCCAGAATCTATGAGGAACTCAACTCAGTAAGAAAAAAACAACCCTATTAAAAAGTGAGCAAATGACATGAACTGACATTTTTTAAAAGAAGATACACAAATGGTCAACAAATGTGAAAAAATGCTCAACATCACTAAACATCAAAGAAATACAAAATAAAACCACAAAGAGATACCATCTTACTCCAATTAGAATGGCCATTACTAAAAAGTCAGAAAACAATAGACGTTGGTACAGATACAGTGAAAAGGGAACACTTATACACTGTTGGTGAAAATGTAAATTAGTACAACCTCTATGGAAATTAGTATTATAGGGATTTCTCAAAGAACTAAAAGTAGATCTATGGTTCAATCCTGCAATCCCAATACTGGGTATCTACCCAAAGGAAAAGAAATCATTATATCAAAAAGATACCTGCTCTGGTACATTGAGAGGTGGTAAAGCAATGCAAAACATTTTAAATGGGGACACAATTAAACGTGGTATACCCATCACCCCAATAGCAGAATCCAACTTTGACCCCCTAAATCTATAAATCCATTAAGATAAAAAAGCATAATAATGATAAAAAGGAAACGATTCAGCCCACCAAACTGTGAAAGATAATAATAAATTATTTTAAGCCATTAAGTTTAGAAGTATTTATTATACAACAATAAATGACCAGAACACATGGTTCAAAGAAGTGTAAAGAGCATACTCCCTTATAAATGAAAAGAAGAGAAATTCATATCCATTTTTGTATGTGAATGAAGAAACTCTGGAAATTTCTTGCAACTGGTTGAAATTGGCTACATAAGGAAAGAAAAGGCAGGAGATTTTTCATGTATAACTTTATTTATTTATTAGACTATGTGAATATGTTACCTATTCAAAAAAATTAAATTAACAAAAATGGCTCCAGATTTAGAGAAGTCAGAAAGGT